TGAACAGATAATGTAATAACATTGCACAGCTGACCTGCTTGTTAAGCATAAGGAATAGAATTGAATGCAGCAGGAGGAAGGAATGAGTTTAAATATTAAAGAGAGGCCAAAAAGACTCATTAAAACATGAACAATTTTTATTACACATTTGCTAGTAATCCAACCTACTTTAATGAACAGATACAGCAAATTGCTGACAATGCTCAATAAAATACAAAATACAATTTTTATGGCATTGATAGCAGTATTTTATAAAAGCAAGTCACTGTTGGTATGTTTTTGAGTACAATCTTCATAATATTCAGAACAACACTCTTATAAAGCATTTTCTCATAGCTGAGGGCTATAGTAAAATCTGTATGAGTATTGCTTATGTGTGTGCAATTCTGAACTGTGATAAGTAGGATCAGATATCAAACTGAACTACGCTAATTTATATCCACTGAAGGTCTGATCTAGAAGCAGATATCCTCCCACCTTCAACGAATTCCCCATATTATTAATTTAATAATTGCACTTCTTCAGCAGTCTAAGCACATGATGGTTTTTCAATGCACTTATGAAAACACAAGTTGTATTCCAGCTATGACAGCTGTGCACAAGTTCTCTGCTTTTTGGAGTTTGACTAGTCCTACAGTTCTTGCAGATCCTTGATGTCTTTTTCACAGGATCTGAGGTTGCAGAAAGCACTGAGTTCTGGCCTGGGTTCTCCTCCCTATTTAGGCTCATTCTCCTCTCAGTTTCTAGCAGAACAACCTGGCCTGATCTCCTTACCCACCTGAAATAACCAATACTTATCAAACACTACACTTGCTTTTCATCTGTCAACACTTGTCTTGTCTTCTGCAAGTTTTCCACCAAAGCCTTCCCCAGAGCTGTGAAGACCCTGTTTCTCTACCTCCACAGCTGCCACCTTGCTCTGATTCATCCCTGGATTTTGTCATTGCAGATCTCCCTGAAGAAAGTCACTGCTCAGAAAGTCACTGCCCTCTCACACATTTTCCCTCTCTTGCCTCATCCCACTGTTCCACAGGCCTTCTTCCAGAAGCAGCCACCAGCAGCTCCACCTCCTCATCCTCACTGTGTATGGGCAGGCTCTTGCCCCTCCCTCTCAAGAGGGTTTCCTATGGATTGCATTATGCCTTAATTACGCATCGAAGTATTTGCATGAATCATGTGAAAGACGGGTGTTATTATTATTTTGTTTCATAGACGATAGCTCAGTCAGCTGAATCCAGCACCATTTGGATTATGAATAGCACAGCCATTAATACACTGTGGTATATGCGCCAACATCCATTTTTTTCCAAAACAAATATTACTTGATTTCTGGTCTGATGCTTCATGTAATGACATACCAATTGTATAAGGAGTGTGTTTGGTGTTTTCAAACTCTGGGCATTTTCCCCACCAAAATTTGTATTGTGGCTGTGAAGATGGAGAGCAGCAGTTAGAAAGACTGAATTTTCATTGTCCTTTATTTTGCTAACCACTACAAAATTTTAAGCTTTTCTGCAAAAAAAAAATTTATGGTGCCCATAGAAACAAAACAAGTGTGCTGCTGACTGAGTGAACATTTGATCAATGCATCACAGCAAAGCTAAAGAGACAGGCTGAACAAGAGGTACAAGGTTTTAAACCAAGACAGTAACATTGTTATGCTTACTTTGTGAGGCACTATTTTATATAACAGACCCTAATTCCACTCTAGATGGATAACTACTGTGAATTATAATTTTATTTTCCACTTAGTGGAGCCTATTGACTTGGACTAGCTCTTGCCAGAGAACCAGTTTTGTAATAAAGGCAGTAAATTCTGATTTTGTGCGTGTTTGATAATTAATAGTGAGGTGTCAGCAGCAGGAAAAAATGAAAGTATTTTTTTTCCTCTGCAAGTTATAAAAGATGGGTTGTAAGACAATGAGTTTATGATGAGTGTCTAAGGCATCTTTTATTAAAATGAGTTCAGCAACTCAGTGGAGGTTCTGATCTGTTTGGGAAGATATGCGTGCAAGGCACTCCTGTTAACCAAGCATCCTTGGCCCCAGGCATAAATATACAGATAGTTATTACACTGGCAAGGATTTTCCCCTCCCAGTGGAGACAGTTTTTTAGCAACAGCAATTTTCCCTTGTTGCTAAGACAGTGGAAAAATAGGTGTCCATGGGTGTCAGTATACATGCTAGTTATAAATATATATAATAATATATGTTTATTATACTTGGGAAAAAAAGGCACAGTAATGAAAACACCATGTAAACTTGACACTATTGAAATATTTGTTTATCAACAGCTTCCAGTATTTAACAAGGATTAAAATACAAACAATAGCCTTGGCCTTAACTGAGCTAGAGCCACAGCTCTAACAGATGGCTGTGCCAGACAGGCTTTCAGCACAGACCAGACCTGAGCACCTCACAGCAGATGAGGATGTGGGAGCCCTCACGACAACCAGCAGAGATCAGCAAGTGGAATTGCCTGTGTGCAACCATGGAGCAGGGAGTGAAACCACAATCCAGCTGAGTATCTGTGTGCTCAGAGAACACAAGGCTATCTCCTTTGAAGTGGCTTAACAGACATAAATAGAGGATTAGGCCCAAGATTTACTGAGATGCCAGAGGATGCTCACATGCTTCACTGTTATGCCTTCTGCTGGACCAAATCTCCAAGGTCATCTGTACCAGAGCCAAGAGGTGAACCTAAGTGTCACTGTGACTTTCCCCTTAAGGTCAACTTCCAGCACAGATTCTGTGAACTGGATCTCCAAAATGATCTGCAACTGCAAGAAGTCATACTAGTTCAACCATCTCCCAGTCCAGGGGTTTCTGTACATCCCATTTCAGAGTACTCGTGTCATTGTGACACGCCAAGTGTCCTAGCCATACTGTCATTTTTCTCTGATTATTCAGAAAATAATAAATAATTTGACAAATAGGAACGGCATGACCCATACTAAAAATAGCTAACTGTGAAATTTCTATGGCTAATTGGCATCTGTTGTTAAAGTGACAAATGCATATTTGCCCTCTGTAGACCTTCCCACCTGTTACTCCATGGGCCATCATACCATATATGTACTGCTAACAAAACAGAAAGGTGCTTCACTTTCAGGGTGATTAGGCTTTGTCAGAAAATTAAGGTACTATTTATTAAAATAATTTGTTACCCTAGTGAAAATTAGGGCAGCAGAACCAGAGGAATTGTATTAAGGCTTGTGCTACCTGCACGTTTGCCCCCATCTCCCCTAGGCTGCAGTAAAAGAACCAAGAAGTGATGTCTTGACTTTGCAGCACTTCCAATCCTTTGTCATCCTCCCAATATCTTTCATCTCCCGTCCCTTCTTGCTCAGCCCTGTCACCCCAGGCTCACCACTGCCCCTCCTCAGGAGAAACCGTATCCAGAAGGCTTCAGGTTTGTTTTTTTTTTCTCGGATCCTGCCCACAGAGTACATCTGCCACATAATGTCTGGGAATTATTTATGTGGTTGTACTCTCAACTCCAAGATCATCCAAGAAACCTGGCTACTGCATCTAACTGCAGTTCACTGACTTCCAAGGGCATAAGATGCCCAGGTGCTTTCTAAAATCTGCTGATATATGGAAGTGAGAATTTGAAAGAAGTAAGTTAACAGAAGTCAGTGTACTCTAAGGAGATTTCCTATAAACTACTAGCAGTCAAGTTGGAGAGAGGAGGGTGAGGAGGAAGAGAGAGACAGGAGGGAGGCAGGCAGGCAAGCTTGGTGACTTATTTATTTTCATCCTTTAAAAAAGAAAAAAAATTGCAAAACTAAAGAAGAAAATACTTAGAAGGCAAGGTTTCCATAGGAAAAAAATATTTTATTTTTTTAAGAACAAATTCAGTTTGAAACAGACGTGGAATGTGATTTTCATAATTTTCATTTTCTGGGAACTAATTGCAATGTGGAACTAAAGCAGATTTCAAACTTATGACCGGCTAGTTTTAATACAGAATGAAACAAACAAACAAAACCAAAAAATAAAATTTAAAAAAAAGGAGAAAGAAGAAATTATTTATAACTCAAGCATAATACTGTGTTACTTACAAACTGGACAAAGAAATTCTTAAATAAATATTCATGGTACACAATTTCAGCACAAATATGCGGCAATTTGGCAACCTTTTATATAATTTTTTCCTCAATACAGTGCAAAGGGGAATGACACTGCCTTTAAACAAGCTGTAGCTAAATACATTGCAAAATTCAAATTTTATACAAAACATCTTGCTCAGACTTTATAAAAAACCAACATTGCTCTATATACACAATCTGGTTAAGAAAAGCCTTTTTTATCTTGTTTTCATGTGGATTTTTTAATTATTTAAAAATGTGAATAAGGCTACTGTAACACCCCAAATCCATATACAGTAAATCTGAACCTATTTACAGCATCTTCACTTAGACATGATGGTGCAAATTCCAATTTGGGTGACTAGGGATGATCATACAAGCAAGGCATTTACAGTAACTTTTCAAAGCTGGACCAACGTCAAAGAAAGGAACAGTTGGTAGATTGTCATAATTCTGCACCAGACACAAAACAGACGCACAGTACATTTTTTTTTTTCAATTGGTTGCAGGTTGCTCTTGAGCAATTAGTCTGATTTTTTTTCACAGTTTAGTATATAACTAGAATGTAGCCAACTGATGAAGCATAGATATGATTTAATAAAAATAAGGATCAGTAAGTCCATCTTTTCCCTTCCCCTCCCCCAAAATAAAATCTTAATGACTTACAAGAGAACCTTGTATGGATGGATTCATAGAAAAGAAGGGTTGTTGAAAAGAATTACATATGTACTGTAGTTAGTCACCATGGTAACCTTCCACAGAACCATGGGTTGGAATTTTTTTTGTTTTTTGTTTCTCTCTTTTGGACCAACATCCCAATGTTATCTTCAGATTCAGAAAACAAAGAGAGTGATCATTTCTACGACAGATATTTTTCTTTTCTTTTTTTTTCTTTTTTTTTTTTTTTTTCTTGCAGGTGCTCACCAGAGGTCTGAGAACCCTAAAATGCTGTTGCTACATTTTCTTTCCAAATCAGAAAGCGAAGTGTTACCATAGTAACATGACTATGTTAGAAATGTCTATTTGCATAGCACATATAAAAGTAGAGGTTTTTTTTTTTTTTATTTCCTCCCTAGGCTGGGAGTTTTAGGGGAATAGCCATGCTAAAGAGAAAACTTTAACCTGAAAACCCCCTCTACGAACCTCAACACAATCTACAGAACACATCAGCCTGTAAGGCAAGGGAAAACACAACACAGAAAATAAATGCCGGCACATCTTGTTGCTGTTAAATATGTGATGCATTAACAATGAACTCCTGATATTTTGGACCTTATATTTTCTACTTTCCTCTTACAAGATGCTTTGGAATTTTTTTTTTAACTATGCTCCCACTGGTGGTTTAGGATAGCTGTTTTTTTTTTCCCCCAGAAGTATTTTATGTTTTTTTAAAATGTGCGAATATGCATACATATATATACATACGTATGCATATATACTTATATATGTGTGTATATACATAGACACACACACACACATATATATGGAAAATGATGACAAGTTAAGACTATGCAATTGCCGCAAATGAATTTCACATCTTCTGGTGTAGATTCTGTGCAATCTCAAAATATATATTAGTAAAAAAATCCAAACCAAAAGTAAGAAAGAATGAACAAAAGAAAAACTCTCACTTTATATCCCTTGTGTTCTATACACCTAATATAAATAAGACATATTTTCCTTCTCCATCTCAGTGTCATAATTTATTTTACTCTTACGGACTGCCAGAGGTTTGCCATATGTGCTTTAACTTTGCAACAGAGCACCAATGAACTGCTGTGTCAGTCAGTACCTACACTCACTGTGCAGGGACAGCACTACAATAAGCCAAAGTGCCAAAAGGGTCAGTCACAGAGAAATTCTGCCTTAGAGATGAGCAAGGTTTTGTGTTTTGTTGTTTGCTTTCCCCACAACTTTATCAGTGATAGAATTATAGCTCATTTGACCCACTGGCTTATAATCATCTTGGGCACTTGGCTCTCAGTTATTTTCTTAAATGCTTTCCCTGTGTTTAGTATAATGTGATAGTATAGCAGCTGAGTCTGCTTAAAAGTCATCCAAGGCAGACTATGTTTTTGCTACAGCTTCAAAGCTGTGTATTTTATTGCCAGTACCACAACAGCCCTGCCCTAATACATCCTCAGTGGCCTGCTATTGTCTTGTCTTCTTCAGGCTTGTTGACTTACTAACAATACCCCTTTGTTCTACTGTATTGAAGGTACTATTTTTTTCTGCACACTGGTATTTGATAACCGTGAATTCCTTCAAATGCAGCCTTAATCCACTGCACATGTTATTGTGTTTCCTACTTGCCTCTTAAAACTTAGCATACCAAAGTGCTGTGCTACCTAAATGCATTTTTTTTTTCTTCCCAGCTTCTATTTCTGAGGCAGTAATATTCAACTGCAACCTTAATCAGCCCTTCCCTCCACCACCCAGTCCTGCTCTTGACTTTGTTGACAGCCTAACTTTTTGGCTGGAAGGCTCCTTACTATCAAAAACAATTTTTATAAATGCATTACCCATTCGAGTGAGGCTGCTGCAGCAGATGGATGGAGTGCGGATCTCCAAACATTAATGTTCCATTAGTGATTCAGGAGGTGGAGTGAAAGGAAATCTTATGTGAAGGATGGCAGAGCCCCGGATAACAGAAACAAATGGAACAGTGACGGACTAAAAGCAAGAGAACTTTAACAAGTCTTACTTAGACACCAAGGTCTGTATGACAAATCCAGTACGCACTGAGAGAGACACACAAAAGTCAGAAGATTGCATTTCAAGCTTGATATATCCTGGAGCACCTTGCCAGGATGCCTAGAGCTATTAACATCCACAGATTGCTCCATCTTCCCTTGGCTTTTGTACATGCCTGAATGCCCACAGCACATGGCTTTGAGGATGATGAATGTAACAAGAGTACAGCAATCAGAATGGGCATCTTCTACATAAAGTCTTCCAGCTTTTAGTGAATACTTATTCACCGAGATAGGGATTCTACAGACTAGGTAAGCTGTCCAGCTCGCGTCGGTTCCTGGAGAAAGAGCTGTTGCCTTCTCCCCCCTGTGCTTAAGTCAATGCTAGCGCACAAGGCGTCATCACAAACCCCAACAGAAAGCATCTGACCAGTGAGTTTCCTCTACGACTCAACTGTACCACAGAGCTGGTTGTGTGTTCCTCAGACCTTGTAATAAATGTTTGCTGGACTCTGAGGAGGCATCTCTTGAACTATGTACACCGGATGTCCATAGTCGCCGCTGACCTTTTCATAGTGGGGGCAAAAGACACTGTCTGCAGTCCTTAGAGGAATGATAATGTCACTGGGCTCAGAACCATTGTTGTTGCCACTGCGTTTTGGGGTGGCTAATGTACTAAGTGATAGAGTTGTCGTGTGTTGCGGGGAATGCTTCCTGTGTCTTCTCCGGTACTTCAACAAAAGAACCACCAAAGTGATGATGATGACGATGAAAATGATGCACCCTGATGCAATCCCTGCAAATAAGGCCACCTCTGAACCCAGTATACTGGAATGCCCAGCCTTACTGCCATCTGTGCTAGATCCTGGAAAGAACGGAAATACAATAGACAAAAGTTATTGCCATCCTGTGACCCATTTACGTTGCTTAAAAATGTGTAGAGTAAGCAAGACTGGAAGAATTAACTGACAGCTAAACTTTGACAAACCAATTACCCTGTTAGATAGCTAAATGCAAACAGCCGAAGTCAGCAATCAATATAAAGCAAGACTTTGTGCCTGTTGGTCTCACTTTTGTGTTGCTCCCAAACCACCCTGTTTCATACATCATCATCCATCAGCGGCGAGAACTGTCACTGACAAGGCAGCCTTTGATGCACACGGCATCTTTTAACAGATGCAGGCCAGCCCCAGGCACAAGAGAGGGGTGGGATAGGGAAAATAACACAGGGAAATGACAATTCTCAGAACAACTGGTACCGTTCAGTGCCACGCTGCTCCCTCTGCTATTTTATCTTTCACATATTGATTTAAGTTAAACCATCCTTAGTGCCTCTTTACAAGGACTCCTCCTGCTTGGAAATGAAACTAAGGAGCTTGAGCTAGCATGGGAGACAAGCAGAATAGTTATGGCATGTCTCTTAGTATTAACTTACATTTACTTAAAAGAGAACAATACCATGCAGCTCATGTGCTGAACAGCCTGTTGAATATTTGCTGCTTATCACACCATCATATTATTTGTCACAAAAATTACATGAATGCTCATTGACACTTTTTCACTTTTAACCTATTTCCCTCTCTTGATGTTCACTCACAATGGAAAAATGATACAGATGCTATATTCACATAATTGTTAAATCTTCCCACCAAAGCCTCTGCAGGGATCAGCTGAAGCCACTCACTGTATCAAAAATTCATTAGCCCAGTAACTAAAGACACAGCTGGCAAGGAAAACTAGTGGCCTTTTTTGGGAAAATTAGAATCACTTGTCAGCAAAGTTTTGCTTTGTAGCATTGCTAATTACTGAATTTTCTTCTGGACAGCGTGATTCTTAAGAGTTAGGTTTTCTCTTGTTCACACTATGAGTGAAATGCATCCTGAAGATATTTGTTTTAAATCATCTATTTATTTTGTTTAGATAATTATTTAAAAAAGGCAAAACAAAACAAAAACAAAACCCCAAAACTTTACATGTAGTAGAAGACCAGCCATACATGTCTAGACTTCATATGGTCAGCTAAAACATCAGGACATTAATTATAGATGCCCTGAAATAAACTTTATAAATGGCTGTCAAGAATCACTTGGTAATGTATTATGCGGGAAGAGAAAGAGACTTGTTTATCTGCCAGAGTACTAAATGTAAGGCAGCACTGACCACTGTAAAGCTACTTAGCAAATGTCCTATCCAAAAATTTTCCTGTAAATGAGAGACACTGTTACAAGATGTAATTAACTTCTACAGCAGAGTGAAAGAGGGGAGAGAGCAGCTATTGCCAAAACTTGCAGCTCCCACACACTATCCACCAGGGCAATCAGAACTGGCCTTTGCTTCATCTCACGATGAAAACATTTGCTTTTCTTGCATGTTAATGGTAAAAAAACCCACATTTGGGACATAGGAGGAGACGACTTTGCAGGGCAAAGTCCCACCACACCTACCTGAGTGGTCCTTCACAAAGGGGCTGGTGGTAGAACTCTTCCCATTGGTGCCAGCTTCCTGCTCAGGGCGCTTGGTGGGATCCGTGTGCCGGGGCTGCCCTGCTGAGTTGGGATCTGGGGAGAGAAAGAGGACTCATGCAGCTTTGGCACTTGATGGTATGGAGCCTTACAAGCTGGCTCTAGGTACCTCGTGAGACACAAGTGGTTTAACAGAAGAACCTTTATGCAAAGGACTGGGAGATATAAGAATGCAATTTTCCTTTTAAAGCAAAATGGTTATATTAGTTATTTCAGGTTTAAATTGTGAGGCCATCTGCAGAAACTATAGGGTCTCCTGTAATTGGCAAGAAAAGCTTAGCAGATGACATTTCAGTTTAACTGAGGAAGTTGATTGACTACTGAACCAACTTCTACTTAGAAGAATAATTCTTTCTTCCTGCACAATAGGTTATCTATATGTGAAAAGAGACAATGAACAAAAACCTCTCTGTAATCAGAATTCATAACAAGCAAACTATAGAAATATTAGCTTCCCTCTTTTCATGTATTTTAAATAATTCTGCAGCAGAGTTGTGGCTTTTGTTTTTAAAATAAAAATAAAAATGACTGAAACACACTACTCCCAGGCGACCTTTCCTTCTAGGGATCTCTTCAATGAAGAGATCTTATTACACTAACCCTCCTTCTGTAGAAATCTGTCAGTAGCTGAGGAAGAGAAAATAGGTTGTGCTTTCAGACTATAAGGGAGGAATGACCACACTAGGCTCGACTGGCTCTCTGCTCTACACTGCTAAAAGAATCCTGAAAACTAAAAAGGACATTGAGACCGATCAAAGTGATTTCATGAAACAGCAGATGGTCTTTACCTTGTCCAACTTTCATGAGGATCTTCATGGTTTTTGTCTGGCACACCCCTCCCTCCTGGTTATCCAGGCCCTCCAAAGACCCATTTGATGTTGCTGATTAAAAATAAAAGAAAAATAAATAAAAATAAAAATAAATAAAAATCAGGAAATCAACAGGCAAAGTGATGTGAATATGAGTGTCTGAAAGCAGGGATCTTTCAGTCTACCAGGACCTGTTTTTGTTGCTCAGGCTGACCTATGGAAAGTTGTGAAATGTTGAAAGCCAAAGGAATGAATACACTGGTAAGCTGTACAATATATACAAATGGAGGAATGTGTTATCAAGGTTTCAAATTTACCCAGCAGCCTTTTATTTTCCTATGCACAATTGACTGACTGACTGGGACAAAAACACACCATCTTGCTAAAAAGGTGATGGAGTCAGCTGAAAAGGAAGCTCTGGCAGGCTCAGAGGAGAAAAGCACTGAAAAATCACTCTTTTTTTCCCCCTCCCAACAATATCTTTATAATCACCATGTTACACCTGCTTCCTCTATTACAAATCTCCTGCTGGAATAAGTGAACGCATACAAAAGACCCAGGTGAAAGCTAAGATTCTGAACTGATTGGAAAACCATTTAATATTTTAAAGCACAATCTCACTTTTCTCAGCATTGAGGAGCCTCTGCGGGGGCGGGGGGCAAAGGGGAGTACGCTCTACTCCCAGGGAAACCTTTCAGCTCACACAAACAACGGGCTGCTTTCCCCTGTGCCGGTATTGTTCTTGCTTATCTAGGTGCCAGCCGGAGCCACGCGATCCGGGCGCAGGCTGACACTGCCGGGCCATGCACCACTCCCTTGGAGAACCCACGAGGCTGAATCACGGTGCATGGGTGCGCCGCTGCCGCCCCAGCCAGCTGCTGGTTGCAAAACAGCTGCTGGCAAAGGATTCGGCAGCTCCTCAGCAGGAGGTATTGCGGCCACTGCGCTGCACTGGCCACCGGCCACCATGAGCGGGGCACAGCTGCAAACGGTGGGCCGTGCATTCTCTATGCAGGGAATGCGCCGGGGGTTTTCCTACCCTGGTTGTCCTGGGCATGGAAATTTCACTGTCATTTCTTGGAGCTGTTTATCTGAGGCCCAGAATAAACTTATGAGAGGGTGTACTGGGCCACCAACTGGAGAAAACACATGGGAAATGGGATGTCAGGGAGCTCGGTGCTTGGCATGGCGGGGTGGTGGTGAACTGCTTAAGCAGCACATGCCTCCCTCTGCCCCTCTCCTTTCAGCCTGTGGGCTTTACACTCTTCAGGTCTTTGTTTTCAATTCTCGCTCCTTCTCTTTCACCTTCCTTGAGGATTTTCTTTCAAATGCAGTCTATGTATATTTCCTTTTTCCTTCACAATGTCTTCCTACCCCCATGGCAGTATTTTTCTTGCTCTAATCTTCTCTCTAGCCGTAAAGATATAAACCCCATACTGCTGAACCCTGCTTCCTAGCCTTTGATCTGAGTCTTGTTTTTGTTCCACTTCTGACTCTTTTGTGACCAACTCGAATTACAGCCACCATACAAACTTCCCAAACTGTGCTTTCTTTTCCTAAAATTCCCTTCTCCTAATACGTGGTCCCTCCCAGTTCCACCTCTTGTTCCCTCCCCCCTGTAAAAACATGACAATAGCTGTATGGCAGAAAGACTTTTCAAAATACAAAAGAGCACGTTGAGTAATTTAAGATAAAAGCTGATCTGAAATGTGTCACTGCATTGCCAGGCTTGGAAAATAATGGAGACATATAGTTTTGTTTTCTTTTGGGTTTTTTTGGTTTTTTTTTTCCCCAGAGGGAAAAAAAAAATCAATACCAAGAACCCATCCTGGACATAAATCAAATGTGTCTTTGCTGAAAGTGTTTTTTATGATCTATTTGCCAATGTACCAGCACAAGGACACAGAGAAAAAATGCAGTAAATAGAAATATCAAAGCTGAGCACCAATTGAACGTACAAATAATAAACACTGACTTTGTTTTGTGGTTTCGTTATTTGATTCTTTTTTAAATCGAGCCGAAGGGAATCACATCTCCTTAAACACCTTCTGCTTGATTTTAATTGACTAGAATGCTGTTTCTGCTGCTTCTGGACACCAATGCCTTTTTATTCTTTAAAGGCCTATCCACTTAACCCATGGAGCAGGAGACCTCAACAGGATGCAGAGGATGCAGTCTGACCTTAGTACAGAGCAAGAAAGTAAGATGAAAAAAAAAAAAAAAGCAAAAATTACTTCAAATACAGTCTCCAAATGGGAAGACCCAGATGTACAATGAGTCTGGTTGTGTGCCTACGCCAGCGCAATCCGCCTCGCTTGCTTGCTAAAAGAATGCTTTCATAGCTTTGATGTCAGATGAATGAATTTGCAGAAGTATTCACTTTTTCCACAGTTCTTCAAGGGATTTTAGGAAAGCCTACGTTGTAGCTGAGAGTACAGACTGCTACGTCCTGAGGAACAGGGAATTTTCAAAGAGAAGCATTTCAGTGACAAAGCAAGTTTCCTTCTCAGCTTTTCCTGTAATTAAACTGACAATTACCCAAGGCCACTGGAGGAAATTATTTTTCAAAATTCATTAAGACTACCGAAATACAACCTTGCATATCCCTAGTGTACCAGGAAGAAAGTGGGTAGCTTTAAACACATCGCTTTAAGCTTTGAAAAGCTTCACTGAGAAAAAGAAGTAATCTGGGACAGCAGAGAAAACACAGTTTCATACTGCTAATGCCCCTTGACAGTGCAGTGTGCAGAAGTCAAACAAGGGAGTGAGTACAAAATATTCCTCAAACACTTTCTGTGGCCTTTCTATATTGATCTCCAAATGAAAATTACACCCACTGTCATTTTAGCTCCTCCACTGCATCCACACCTCTGTGGGAAAGTGACCCAGAACTTGCAGCTCGCCTCACACTGAAAGGATATTAAAAAAAAAAAAAAGTGCCCCCGATAGGAGTTTTGGATTTAAATACAAATGTAACATAAGTTTCTGGTATCCAAAATGGAAATGTTATCCTCCAGTGTGTTTATATAATCAGATTTTAAACTTTCCATCCAATTTATTCTTATATGTATATGTGTGTATATCTATATATACACACATAAAAGAACATTTTGCTCTGAATATGGATATATTTTAAAGTCAATTACTTAGATGAGTTACCATACAAAGCCCTCTGCTAAGAAGACTAAATACTTAAATATTAACATTAATAAGCATAACTAATGATTAATATGAAGTTTCTCATTAGTATTAGTATGTTCTCAGGATCCCACACTTCACTTTCTATTAATACAGCAATACATAGGAATGTAGAAGTAAGTAAAATGTTGCTAAACAGGTAGCAAAATATTTTTACATCTTTTGATGGTTAAATACCTCTGATTTTCTGAGACCTGTCCTGCTCCACTGGTGTCAACTGCAAAACTAATAATTACAGCCAAAACTACATTAAATTATTCAACAGTTTGTCCACACCTAAAAATAAACACATATAACTGTGCTAAAATCTCTACTAATTTTGAGACTTTCTAACAAAATTGTAATAACTTATAGGTCATTTTACAGTAGTTTATCAGACACTGTCTGCATTCCTTGAATACAACACCAGCTGCCATTTTATAAGGAATGCAAGTTTAGCTTGTCAACATTCAGAAAACACTTATCTGTTATGAAATTAAGGTTTAAGAGTCCTGCTGATACATACTTACTTTAGAGAAGCTAGTATACATTTCCAGGTTCATAACACACTACTTTAACATATCCTCCTCCATACACATGGAAGAAATTAAATTATTCAGACCAAAAAACCTCATTCTGATCTGCCTCCCCGTCTTTGAAATACATGAATTGTATAAAAACAAACAAAACCCCCAACAAAACAAACAAACAAAAAAGGCTGGAACTCATGTAAATCAATGTATAATGTTTTACATTTATTTGCTTTTAAAACTCCACAAGTGCTGTTTATTGTACAAAGTGCATTAGTCATAAATGCAGAGGCAGGGAGTCAGTGAGCATAGCAGAGTCAGCTGACAAGAACAGTTCCTGGCTATGATTCCCCATGGAGAGGAAGTAATATTACATTTTAATATGTCTTCATTTGATTGTTATTACTCTGCCTCCCAGGAGGCTATGCCACTGCATGGATCATGGCTGTTTTCAACCTACCAGGTCGGTAACATTGCTCTAATCAGACAGAGAATTAAGCTGCTGGATTTGTGCCTGTATATAGCTTTTCATTCACAAAGAGATTAGAAATGAAGGCACAGTCACAAAAATTCAACTTCCTTTACTCCTAAAAACACACATTAGTTACAAAATGAAAAAATGCCATCACAATTACTTAAAACACCAGCAGACAAAAATCTCAGCCTTTTAATTCTGCTACACTTATTACCTGCAGTTTCATGTTTTAGGATTACAAAAAACATTACCTATTTGCAAATTAAATGACATATGCTTTGAACCAACACAACTTTAAAACACATCTATTTCTAGAGCTTGAACATGAAATGGACTACATCACTGATGAGAGAAATTATGACCATCATATTTAATTTTCCTGTGAAAATTAAATAGACCTTAAACCACACACTATAGGAATAAAATGAGTGATGTCAACTGATGGGCAAGGGCAAAATTGATTTTGCCCCTCCTTAGTGTGCTGGACAATAAAAGTCATTCGGCAATATATTAAAGACACATCATTGATGAGGTCATGAAGAATTAATTGCTGCTGATGTGGATCTGTAAATAGCAAATTGAGAATTACAGGTTTTTTTAGGGGCAGTTCAGTAGTATCCAATAGTAGTGATTTTCCCAGTTTTTGTTCATTAAATACTGCTTGAATACTGCATCAGAAAATAGATTTTTCAAAATCAGAATAAAATAAAATTAAATAATACTACCCTTTTCAACTTTTCCCATACTGTGCTTAGAATGAAAAAAAAACAGCAGCAAAAATCCACACAAGCTTTAGATTCAACAGTAGTAAGAAGGTATTCTTAAAGCAAAGTTGCACTCCACCTCACATGCACTCTCAGGATTACTAAGCACATGTAAAGTTGTTGAGA